TCAAGGAACATCAGAGACTTATTTTACATCTTGTAAAAAGGGGCATAATAGATCTCCTTTAAGACTTGCATGCAAAAAAAAAAAAAAAAGATTAGTATATTGTAATATCATAATACAGCAGTTATAATATTAGAAAGGTATAATATTTCTGATCAATCCACTATAAACTGTGATACTTTAATTGGTTTTTAAAAATTGCACAATATATCACTGTAAAAAAAATCTGTAATTTTACGGTTTATTCCCAGCAGCTGGGGTGCCAAAAAGAAATGTAAAATAACGGCTGTTAAATTACAGAAATTTACCGTAAAATAACAGATATTAAACTACAGAAGTTTTCTAGAAATTTAAGAAAACTGTAAGTTAATATCTGTTATTTTACGGTATATTTCTGTAATTTAACATCTGTTATTTTATCGTATATTTCTGTAATTTAATGTGTTATTTTATGGTATATTTCTGTAATTTAATGTCTGTTATTTTACGGTATATTTTTGTAATTTAATGTGTTATTTTACAGTATATTTCTGTAAGTTAATGTGTTATTTTACGGTATATTTCCATAATATAATGTGTTATTTTACGGTATATTTCTGTAATTTAATGTCTGTTATTTTACTGTAGATTTCTGTAATTTAATTTCTGTTATTTTACGGTATATTTCTGTAATTTAATGTGTTTTTTTATGGTATATTTCTGTAATTTAATGTGTTATTTCACGGTATATTTCTGTAATTTAATATGTTATTTTACGGTATATTTCAGTAATTTAATGTCTGTTAGTTTACGGTATATTTCTGTAATTTAATGTGTTATTTTACGGTATATTTCTGTAATTTAATGTCTGTTATTTTACGGTATATTTCTGTAATTTAATTTCTGTTATTTTACGGTATATTTCTGTAAGTTAATGTGTTATTTTACGGTATATTTCTGTAATTTAATTTCTGTTATTTTACGGTATATTTCAGTAATTTAATGTCTGTTATTTTATGGTATATTTCTGTAATNTAATGTGTTATTTTACGGTATATTTTTGTAATTTAATGTGTTATTTTATGGTATATTTCTGTAATTTAATGTGTTATTTTACGGTATATTTCAGTAATTTAATCTGTTATTTTACGGTATATTTTTGTAATTTAATGTGTTATTTTACGGTATATTTCTGTAATTTAATGTGTTATTTTACGGTATATTTCAGTAATTTAATGTCTGTGTTAGTTTACGGTATATTTCTGTAATTTAATGTGTTATTTTACGGTATATTTCAGTAATTTAATCTGTTATTTTACGGTATATTTTTGTAATTTAATGTGTTATTTTACGGTATATTTCTGTAATTTAATGTGTTATTTTACGGTATATTATAGTAATTTAATGTCTGTGTTAGTTTACGGTATATTTCTGTAATTTAATGTCTGCTATTTTTTGGTATATTTCTGTAATTTAATGTCTGTTATTTCTGTAATTTAATGTCTGCTATTTTACGGTATATTTCTGTAATTTACTGTCTGTTATTTTACAGTATGTTTCTGTAATTTAACAGCCGTTATTTAATGTAAAATTATTTTACGTAAAATTACAGATTTTTTGACAGTATAGTCACATTTACTTGATGTTTATTTAAACAATATCCCATCTTTGATGATGTGGTTATTTATTTTAATAACCATCTTGTGAATAACTCCCAAATACAGTTATATTTAGCATAAAACATTTCCCAAATGAAAGCAATATTCTGGGTTAAATAATAATATAAGACGTCAGCTCGGTTTTCATTAAAGAGAAGAGTTTGGAGTATAAAAAGAATGAAAATGTGTGTACAGTGGAAGTCATATGGTTATAGTTTCAAAACATGTTTTTTTTTTCTTCCTTTGATTGAACAAGCTGAAAAAACTAAACAATATTTTTTTTCTGAAGCTTATAGGTTGCATTTAACCCCATAAATTCCTTTAATAAAATACACTCTTATGCAGAAACGTCCCGGAGTACACACAGAAGTGAGCGATTAATGGTAAATTACATTCATTCCGGATTATAGAAGTGATTAAACAGAGTTCAGGAGGATCTCAAGCACTTCAGCGTAGATTAGAAATGATATATCTTGTATGTAAAACTATGTGTTTGGTATACTTTGTGTCTTTTTTCATTCAGTTGATTTTGTATTAAAAAAGAAGGCACTGAAATGTGCAATTCACTGAGGTGACATTCAATGCCAACATGATGAAAATGCAGCAAATGGATTTTTTTTATGTTATGAATCTGTCAAAAACATATGCAGGTCATATTTCACCACAATATACTACCTGACAAAAGTCTTATCATCGATCTCAATTGTAAGAGCAACAAATAAAAACTTGACTTCTAGTTGATCATTTGTAAAAGTGGAGGGTAGATAAAGATGAATCATCTGTTGAGCTGCATCCAAATCATCACAAATACTGCAGAAGACCTACTGGAACCTGCATGGACCCAAGATTCCCGCTGAAATCAGTCAAGTTTGGTGAAGGAATAATCATGGTTTGGGGTTACAATCAGTATGTGGGCGTGCGAGAGATCTGCAGAGTGGATGGCAACATCAACAGCCTAAAGGACCAAGACATTTGTGCTGCCCGTTACATTACAAATTCTTCAGCAGGATAGCGCTCCATCTCAAACTTCAGCCTCCACATCTCCATGTATATATATACACATCTCCATATATGTATAAATCATTATGTTTTGTTCCAAAAACTTGAATAGGCGACGACTTTTGACAAGTAGTGTAAGGACAGAATACATTATATCAAATTACAATTTTGTTTTAAAGAAGTTTTTTAGAACTATATTGTAAAAAGTCCAATACAAATAAAACTGAATATTGAAACAATAATTATAACATCAAATAAAAATGCTATACAAAACATGAATGCAGCACGGTGGCTCAGTGGTTAGCACTGTCGCCTCACAGTAGAAAAGTCGTTGGTTCGAGTCGCTGGCTTGGCCAGTTGGCAGTTTCCCCCACAGTCCAAACACATGCACTATAGGTGAATCGAATAAACTAAATTGGCTGTAGCGTATGAGTATGCGTGAATGTGAGTGTATGGGTGTTTCCCAGTACTGGGTTGCGGCTGGAAGGGCATCCACTTCGTAAAAGAAACATATTCAGAAATAGTTGGTGGTTCATTCCACTGTGACGACCTCTAAAATGGAGACTAAGCCGAAGGAAAATGAATGAATGATGAAAAAAATCATAATAATTTTTTTTAACTAGATGTCTATAATTTCTTATTCATCCTTTTGGTTTGCGGGTGATATATGACCTGCATAATTGTTCATTACATTCATCAATTGGTTATTCTGTTCATTTCCAGGTCATTAATCTCTGTTGATTGCGTCTCATGCTGCACACATTTCCCATCAACCCCTCTGAGCCGTTTTCTTCATCGAACAGCTTCACTTCAGCTCAACCAGTGAGCAGAAAACATTTTCACACACTTTCTCCAAAACCCCAGCTCAAACATCAGCTGAACATTCCTCACCCTCTAAAAACAACCTGGCTTTCCAGAGCACCTACTGAACCACGACACTGGAGCTGTGGAGATAAATCAAGGCAAGACATGTGTGGCTCACTGCTTAGATCAGGAGTGGCCAATCCTGTTCCTGGAGATCTACCTTCCTGCAGATTTCAGTTGCAACCCTTATCAAGCACACCTGTCTGTAATTATTAAGTGGATTTCAGGTCCTAATTAATTGGTTCAGGTGGGTTTGATCAGGGTAGGAGCTAAACTGTACAGGAAGGTAGATCTCCAGGAACAGGATTGAGCACCCCTGGCTTAGATCTTCTGAATGCAACACAATTCTCTCTGCAACCAATTCTGAGATTAGTTTCTAACAGCAGATGGTGCTCTAGGGTAGTTTTCAACAGGAGGTGTTGCTCTAGGCAAGTGTTTACTCTTTGCTAGTATTTACTGGAAGATAGTGCTCTATTCTAGTTTTAAACCACATATAGTGCTCTGTGCTAGTGTGTAATAGCAGTAGTGCTTCAGGCTTGTTTGTAACAGCAGTCTTTAGGCAAGTTTTTACCAGCAGATGACCCTCTAGGTTAGTTAGCTGATAGTGCTCTAGGCTAGTTTTAAACAACAGATGGCATTCTAGGCTAGTTTTTACCAGCAGATGCTATTCTAGGCTAGTTTTTAACAGCTCATGACTATTTAGGCTAGTTAATTGATAGCGCTCTAGGCTAGTTTTAGACAGCAGATGGCATTCTAGGCTAGATTTTACGAGCAGATGGCCCTCTAGGCTAGTTAGCTGATGGCACTCTAGGCTAGTTTTAGACAACAGATGACATTCTTGGCTAGTTTTTAACAGCTCATAGCCCTCTAGGCTAGTTAGCTGTTAGCGATCTAGGCTAATTTGTAAACAGCAGATGGCATTCTAGGCTAGCTAGCTGATGGTGCTCTAGGCTCATTTTAAACAGGTGATGGTGCTCTAGGCTGGTTATTAACAACATGGACACTCTAGGCTAGTTTTTAACAGCATAGATGCAATAGGCTAGTTTTTCATGGCAGGTGTTTTTTACACTACTAGATGACACTCAAGGCTAGTTTTAAATAGCAAATGGCATTGTAGTCTAGCTAGCTGATAGTGTTTTAGGCTAGTTTTAAACAGTATGGACGCTCTAGGCTAGATTTTTTCCAGCTGATGGCACTCTAGGCTAGTTTTAAACACCATGGATGCTCTAGTCTAGTTTTGACCAGCAGATGCCATTTTAAGCTAACTAGTTGATGGCGTTCTACTCTAGTTTTATTCAGCATGGACGCTCTAGGCTAGTTTTTAACAGCAAATAGTATTCTAGGCTAGCTAGCTGATGATGCTCTAGGCTATTTTTAAACAGCTGCTGGCACTCTGGGCTAGTTTTCATCAGTAGATGGCATTCTAGGCTAGTTAGCTAACGGTACCATAGGCTGATTTTTATTAGCAGATGGCACTCTAGGATAGTTTTAAATAGCAGATGTGATTCTAGGTTAGCTAGCTTACGGCATTCTAGGCTTGTGTTTACCAGCTAATGGCACTGTAGGCTTGTTTCTACAAAAAGATGGCACTCCAGACTAGTTTTGACAAGCAAGTGGCACTCTAGGCTAGTTAGCTGATGGTGCTCTAGGCACTCTAGGATAGTTTTAAATAGCAGATGTGATTCTAGGTTAGCTAGCTAATGGCATTCTAGGCTAGTTTTTACTAGCTGATGGCACTCTAGGCTAGTTTTTACCAGCAGATGGCACTATAGGTTAGTTTTAGCAGATTGCTTTCTAGGCATGGATGCACTAGGCTAGTTTTTAATAGCAGGTGGTGTTTTAGGCTAGCAGACGGCACTTTAGGCAGATGGAGCACAAGGTTAGTTTCTGACAACAAATGGCACTTTAGGCTAGTTTTAAACAGAAAGTGGTGCTCTAAGCTAGATTTTAATAGCAGGTTGTGATATTTTTAAGGACAATTTTTTTTACTATACACCAAATGTTCATAAAGAAAAGCGTTTATGCATACAGCTAAGTCATGTACTGTAAAGCGGGTTGAACACTGGCCACTGCACGTCTTTACTACACAGTTGTTTGTTAATAAGCAACACAAACAGATGGCGAATGGTGACGCTGGTGTGTTTGCCCTCATAGAAAACTGTTTATGATTCTAAAAGGCATCCCGTGCTGAATTCAGTGTGTGGCAAATGACACACATCAGCTTTTATACTATATAAAAGTAATTAATGTAAATAAAGCTTACTATGAAAATGGTTACTGTGATCGAGTGGTATGTGTATGGAATTGGATGCAAGCAAAATACGGCAGTTTGTGAATCACACATAACCATCTACTGTTATCAACAAAGCTCTGAATCCATTCAAGAGAGAATTGCAATGCATTTGGGAAATCTCAGAGATAGCAATGCATCGATTTATCACTACAGCTCTGCACGGCACCATCATTTCAACCCGACCGTCAACGTCATGTGGGATGTCGAGAGTCAGACCTGAATATCAAACACCCATAAAACAGGCAAACAAAACAACACGCAAAGTCTCACACACTCATTCGCTCAGGCACACGTCTAGCTGAAGAGCTTGATGAAGCAGCCCTGGCAGTACGGCTTGTCGTTCTGCTCTTTAAAGGTGCCCTTGTTGAGCTGCTTGAGGCAGAAGGCACAGACGAAATGCTCAGGGTGAAATTTCTTGCCCATAGCTGTGATACAGCGGCCTGTGATGGGCTTCTGACAGCCGGAGCACAGCGAGCCGCGCCGGGCGTGATAATGAACCTCACAGTATGGCTGACCGTCATGCTCGAAGAAACTGCCATTGACGAAGGGCGTGAAACACTCCTGAAATACACACACACACACACATCGAATGTTAACGAGTTTGGTAAATTACACTGTATTTAACTGTAATATGAACTGTAGGATAGTTTTGCAGTATGTTACTGTTTTTTAAAGTTGCATTGTGAAAGTTATTGTATATTTTACAGCTTTTTTTAAATATAGTACATTTTAAAACGGTAAATAAAAAAAAATTGCAATAATATTTTCACATAATGTCTGTATTTTTGAGAATTAGCCTTAACCCTACCCCTGAATACACTGAATACCCTTCAATATAAACTCACCCTGCACACAAAACACTCTGGATGCCAGAGAGAGCTCAGGGCAGAGATGTAGTTCTCCAGGATGGCACGAGCACAGCCGCCACATTTAGGCGCGAACAGGTCAAAATAGTCTTTACGGCAATATGCCTTCCCATCCTTCTCATGAAATCCTGGAAAAAAGAAAAAATAACGTGTTGAGGGTTCATCAATGCCTGTTAATTCAGAGGTCATCAAATTTCAAAGTTTTAAAAGTCACAAATTTCATCAGAAGTCAATGTGATGTGCATGTGGTGTGTATTGCAGAATAAATGAACCAGGGGCCTCATGTACGAAGACTTTCATTGAATTCATACTAAAACACTGCGTATGCACAAAGCTGTAAATGTGGGTACGCAGAAATAAATTCAGATGTATGAAACACTGCGTACGCCGAATCCCACGCATATTCTCTTTGTACATCCGAATGAACGTGAAACTGAGCACACCTGCACGAGCGCGAAACCCCTCCCTGCCTCCTCCCCCGTATGAATATGCTAATGACTCTACTTTGGCAAAACCCAACGAAAAAGCAATGGCGAAAGCAAGCAAGAAGAGAAACTTTGAACAGATTGTGAATTGGAGGTGCTGCTTTCGGAGGTGGGTTAATAATACATGATGATCATATAGTTTTATGACAGCAACCATTTGGCTCTATGTTTAGCATTTACTCACCTTCAGGACCAAAGAACGCCCCGCACTGGGCACAGAAAAAGTGTTCAGGATGCCACGTCCTGTCTAACGCCGTTACCACTTTCTGCAAAGTAAGAAACAATGAACAAAGATTTTTTGAGGGAGTCGTATTTTGTAGCAGATAGAAAAAAATCACCAAAGGAACTAATCTCCACTAGTGCATGTCCAGTTGAAGTCAAAATTATGTGCCCTCCTGTTTTTCATATATTTCCCAAATGCTGTTTAACAGAGCAAATACATTATCACATATACATATATCAAATCGAGTCTTAAAATTCTGTTTGAGATTTCAGGTTGGATCACATGTAATTTATTATTATCCAATGCATCCCTGATCCCACTCCTCTTGCCACTTATTTAAAATGAAAATGTTCTCAGCCTTGGGTAAGAAACAGATTGTACTTTAAGGGTGCTTTCACACCTGTGAATCGATTCAGTTGTTCCGAAACAGAGATTAAAATTGTAACATTGTTGCTCTTTGCTCTTGGAGCGGTTCGCTTTCACACTGCAAAGTTTCTAATCGGACCAAAAGAGCTAAAACAAGTCACGTGCGAGTAAACTCTCCTCACATTGGTCAGAGTGTCAGGGTTTATTTTGCAGCGTCCCGCTCAGCTGTCAGGAGAGGTGGTGGTTTGGTGGTGATTGACAGGGTGTGTGCGCGCGTGACGTGTCTGAGGAGAGACGCGGTGGGGAGGGGTGAGAAGGGTGCGCGACGATGCCTATTTGAGGACTGGGAGAGAGACGCGAGATTACCGGGAGATCATCACTCGTTTGCGGGCATCCGGAGACTCGCGAAACTTCCCGCCCTACTCATAATTCTCTCTTCATATAGCCGTAAGCCTATTACATATCCATAAAACGCTGTGATATAACCGTGCTCGGATCGGATCGCTTTCTCACTACAATCGAACCGCTCCAGGGTTCGTTTCAATCGAGCCGAGACCACCTCATTCAAGCGATCTCGGAGCGATTACTTTGGCGCGGAACAGAGCGCGATTGCCCTGTTCACATATGCCAAACGAACCGCACTAACTGGGCAATCGAGACACGTTCCGAAACAAAAGTGTAGGTGTGAAAGCACCCTAAGTGTGTGTGTTCTATTTGATTGTGGATCCGTTTCTCAGGTCTGGAGTCAGCTCTAAATAGTCTAGTGGATGTCTGACATTTATATGCTTAATATATGGTTCAGAATTGTACGTACACACACACGTGGAAATTTCCTAAGTCTATCTGTGTTTAACCAATCAGGTTAGAACAGAGGCTCTAAACCCTTTTCACTTCGAATCCCACCTCTCTGAAAATTTTTTAAAGGCGCACGTCTGACTGATTGTTTAGAGAAAATGCTCATTTTTTAATTTCTTTTGCTTACAAACTAATGGGCTGTTCACACTGTCATCACCCGAGTCACATGAGCGTGAAAAAAATCAGATTCGAGCCACATTTACCTGCAGTGTGAACGTAGCATTTATCTGACAGACTGGTTAATCTTTGGGTTAAAACTGTATAAAACCCTTTTTGTAATTTTTTTATAATAGGTAAAATAGCTGACAATAATAAATATTCATAATAATAAGAATTAATCTGCCATGTGTTTGAACTGTGCAGAGCTGTAGCTGCTCAATTAGGCCTGCTACAGTTCTGTATTTCAATACCGATCATTATGGTGGTACTTGGAGAGACAATTTTTTTGTGAGGTGGTTCTTAATGAAAAAAGTTTGAGGATCCCTGATCTACAGTAGGGATGCAACGATTATAGATTTTGGTTGTGCGATTATAGTCTGAGAAATAATCATGGTTTCACGGTTATCATGATTATTATGCATTCATTGATTTCAAATCCCTCTAGTTTAGAAAATAAGATGAAAAACTCCTTTTATTTTATTAGTGTTATTTATTGCTGATCAGCAACTAATTAATACAGCACAAAATAATATAAAAACAAACAATAATAAATTTCTCTCTTTGTGCTTAAAAACTTTTGACATTTAAACAAAAATAATTTTACACTGTAAATAAATGACAAAACAAAAAAAGAATAAATAAACATAAGAATAAATAAAAATAAAAAAAAACTGTATTCGTCTAATGCAGGGCTTGAAATTGCCGGTGCTCCCAACTTCAAAAATTCAGGAGCACCAGAAAAAATCCCACCAAAAATTCATGAGCACCACTGCAATGAATGTCTAATAGTTATAGAATTTTAATGATGATAATGATGTCAATAATACTAACAATGAATAACATTTCTCATTCTCATTCTGCCTTGAATGTGTGAGTTATCGGTTTAAAAAATCCTACTTTATGAAAAATACATCTATGGTTTGCATAAAAAAAATGAAGCATTGCTGTAAGAAAAAAATATTTTGCAGTATTGTTTTATATGTTGGTCAATTTAATAAACAAAGAAAGGACAAAAGAAAAGGAAGAAAAGTCTCACTTCTGCACCTCTTTAAAAGTTTTGGTTTGGGTTTGGTCATTGTAAATGCTCAGTCTCGTTATGCGCTGATTTTCATCCCGCTGTGTTTGTGAAAAAAAAGCCGGCGAGTTAGCCGGCCTATAAAAGCGGGGCAGAGCAGGATTCTCCCAATGACCACCAGCGCAATACTGTTGTCTTGCAGTTTCAGCTTAAATTTAGTAAATGAGAGCTTCGTTGGCGATGATGTGTACAGGGTTGGGTTTTACATTTAGCGGACATTTGCGGTGAAAACGAGGTAAATGCAACTCATCGAGATTCAAGCCATTAAACAGCTGATCCACTCCGAGTCTTTCAGCGCTCTCTCCGAAATCACTGATCTCGGCTGGTGGATCAACATTCACTACATGTTTGCTCTTATTGGGGGATTCGGCACCAATAATAACTCTAAGTGAGTTTGGAAACCTGTGTAATTTTCATGAGCTTCTTCCTCAGACTTCAGCAACAAAAGCCCTGTCATCCCAACAAGGTGCGCCTAAAAAGCGTAAGCGCGCTGCGTTTCGTGCGCGTCCCTCCCTATATTTTACAGTCTGTGGTCCCTCCAGTGGAAATAATGAACTTGCACGAGCTTGCCTTAGTTAATAGCCTCCGTCATAGTTAATCTAGTGTGTGTGGTTATTCGTCTCAGTAACAAACTAGCACACAGTTTAGTTGCAGCAGTTTTGTTCCCTGCAGAAACACAGTGTTGAGAAGCCTTAGCGATTAATTAACCATGACGAATTAAAGCACAGTTAATAGTGAAACCGGTTAATCGTTGCATCCCTAATCTACAGAACAAACCACTGTTATACAATGGCTTGCTTAAGTCTTTAAAAGTCACTTTAAGCTAAATACTAGTATCTTGAACAATATCCAGTCAAATATTATGTTCTGTCATCATGGCAAAAATAAAAGAAATCAGTTCTTAGAAATGAGTTATTAAAACTATTATGTTTAGAAATGTATTGAAAAAAATGATTTCTGTTAAACAGAAATTAAGGGAAAAATATACATGGGGGAGAATAATTTAAGGTGGACTTCAACTGTATATGGGGTAAAGAGCAGAACACTGGTCTCTCCATACCACTTGTCTTGCGAAGAAAGCGCACCAGCGACTGCACTTTCTGAGAAGGTTGAAAAGAGCATCAGCCCATCAATCCTCACAACGTTTTTACAGAGGAGCTGTTGAGAGTGTTCTTACTAATGGCATCTCCCTTTGGTGTGAGAATAGCAGTGTGTCTGACAAGAACACCATTGAGAGGATGATAAAGTCAGCTGAAAGGTCTGTTGGAGTCAAAATGACATCTATCGAGGAACTTTATCAACGACGTTGTCTGTCTAGGGCAAATAGCATTTTAGGGGATCCAACCCACCCTGGTCATAGCCTGCTCTCACTCTTGCCATCAGGCAGGCGTTACAGAGCCTGAGGAGCAAATCAGTGCGGTTTCGGGATAGTTTTTATCCTGTCATTATAAGACTTTTGAATAATACCATTTCTTAAGCATTGTTGAAAGCTAGTGTTAAATAATAAATTAATAAATATGTTAAACTAGCATAAATTGTTAATATTACAGCAAATGGTGAAATAGGTATTTAATTATTAAGTAATTCTCTTCAGAGATTTTTTAAAATAGGTTATATCTTATATAATTATATTTTTATGGAAATATAAAAGCTTATTTATTATGTTAGGATTTTATATTGTTTGTAGAGTAATGTTTTTAATGTTCTTGTTGGGTCTGTTGCAACGTAATTTCGTTCTGCATTACAATTCTATTGTGATGTGTTGAATGACATAAATAAAGGAAACTAAAACTGAAACTGGATTTTTCCACACATAGTCTGGATTGGCATCAGGTTTTGATGCTAGTCAAACGAAAATGTATCAAATTAATGAAGTTTCTTCTCACGTCCAGGATGGGTCCGTTACAGTAGTAGCATCTTGGAGAGAATAAATGGTGATAATCCCTCTCGCAATATGGCTGTCCTTCTCTCTCAAAGAAGTTCCTGGAACCAATCTCCTCTTGACAATGTGTGCACACGAAATGCTCAGGATGCCATGTGCGCCCCATTGCAGTTACCACCTGTACAGAAACAAACACACTTTTAATCCCGATATGCCTTTAACATTGCAAAACACTGGTTTTTCAGCATGGCGGGAACTGGGCATCTCTCAAATATCTTGCTTACTTTCAGAAGGCACCATAAAATCTTTCCAACAGATTGTAGATTAATATAACGTTCCAAAATCCAATTTTTATAAATACAATTGCGACATTTTTTAAAACCAAAGTTGGACAAAGGAGAGCTGAGATCCAAAACAACAGAGATTGAATACCTTTTACTGAATTCACCTTGTTTAAAAGGATTGATAACAAGGATTTATGACACTTTGTCTAACAACTGCACTTCTGCCTGGCTAGAACTTAAAGATGTTTGGGAGAAGGATATTGGTCAAACTATTGAAGAAAATGACTGGGAAATTGTATGGGATAATATATATCCGAAGTGAACCTCTCTTGGGATCCATGAGCTTAATTTTACATTTTTTAATAGGATCTACTTTACTCCAATACGTATTAAGAAAATGTTTGCCAATGCCTTGTGTTTCAAATGTAAAAAAGATAAAGGTACATTCATTCATAGTTTTTGGGACTGTGACAAAATTTTGCCATTTTGGAAGAAAATACATAAGGTAGTGGAAAATATTCTTAAGCTAGATTTTTACATGACCTCAGTACTTATTGAATCTTAATGCAAACAATCTGTTTGAAAAAGATGCATTCCAGTTATTTATTGTATTGGTATATTTAGCTAAAAAAAATATTTTGCTACTCTGGTCTGCATCAGGCTCCATCTTTTAAAATGTGGATATCACAGATAAAAAAAAAAACTTACCTATGACAAACATAAAAAATCTGATAGATTTTGGTCAATTTGGTCTCCCCTTTGGAAGTACTAGAAGAGCTCTCTTAAATCAACACAGCATCCTTGACATTCATTTCCACCTTTTGTTATAACCTACACTTAAAGACTACTCTAAGATGATTGTACGTTTAATTATTCTTTACCTATTTATTTGTTTTTTTTTTTTACATTAATTTCTCTGTTACTTTCACTCTTAAAGGTTCAGGACACCCCGGAGAACTTTTTTTTTTTTGTATTAACAGATGTGTGTGTGTTGAGCATCAGTTAAGACAATGTTAGCACCTGTCAGCTTTAATTGTGGGGAAAACTGGATCATTTTGAGCTTTTGTCAGCTAATTTCAGCTTCCGGGTTTAAAATGATTTTTGGGGCGGGATCAAAATCGGCGACGTAGCGCAGTACTGCAAGTGCAATGATGACGTGTCAGTTTCTCATCATTATTCATAGCGGAGTTTTCTTATCCTATGAAAAGAGCCGGCTGCTTAATTATTCATGAGACCTGCCAGACCTGCCAGTGTCAAGCCCGAGCTGAGAGACACGGAAACCACGGCACAGTATTTAGCCGTTCATGAAGGCTCATATGCGTTTGTTTCCATCATCCACGGGGTTTGTTGCATGTTTTCCCCCGCGATCTTGTCAGGGCCGATCATACAGCAAAGCTGTGTGCGTGCTGCAAGCATTTTTGTCGGGAGAGCAGCACGAGAATTAGAGAATGGCGGATGCTGTCTTTCATCAGGAGTTCGTTCACATTCAGACACATCGCCGTGCTGCTGTGTTTGCCTAAATCCTCCAGATTACCAGCAAGGGTTAATGGTTAAAATAGACGGGTCAGGAGACCTGCTGCACTGAGTCTGCTGGATACGGGGATTGAGGGAGAAGTCCTCATTTATAGTGTTTACATGAACATGATTATCTTTATAATGATATAAATTGTTGTTGTCTGTATATGAAATTACAAATAACAAATGTAGCAGGGCATTAAATCACTGTTCATTTCTTTGCATTTTAACTTTGTAAACTATAAACTCATGCGTCTCCTCTTTGTGTCTCATTTTGTGAGCTAACTGACAACAGCAGTTATTCGCTCCCCTTCTTCCCTGCTGGCCACGCCCACTCCTGCCCGATGCTCGCAGAGGTCCACGCCCATTAATCATGCATCTTTTGAAAAAATTCTGAAGTAGACTTTAACCGAAAGTGGGGGGTGTCATGGCCCTTTAAGACTGTACATTCTCTGTAATATGTTAAAACATTTTGATGTTAATGTTTTGTGAATATGGGCATACAATAAAATAAAAAAATTAAAGAAACAAACACACAACCTTTATCTAGATGTGTCTAGCTGGTTCTACTGAGCATTTCTTATTAGCTGATTTAATCACAGAGCTCTCTCCTCTACATTTGTAGCTCTCTGACTCCCTCACCTGGCCAACTATGGGTTTGCTGCAGGCACCACACACTCCTTTGGCAACCGTTTGCACTCCCAGCTTGTGGAGGTCAGATTGAAGACTGCCCAGCATGTTGTCCAGTTTGTTAGCCTGTCCGTGTGGGCCCTTGCCCTGGGCCATGATCTACAGACAGACAGGACAAGGGTTAAAACATTTGCAAAACAATCATGTGCACAAAACACAAAGAACTTAATCCCCTTGTTAAAAGGTGACGTGTTTGTGACGTATGTAATACTGTTTCCGGGTCCAAGCCGCCATTCATTTGAGTGGAGAAATCATTCATTTATGATCACGTTTTATTCCTATCACACATTAAAGTTGATTTTATATAAAGTCATAGTGTACACAACAATCTCTGGGCTTGCTGCATAACAAATACCAAAAATTTAACAATTTATAAAAAATTTATCACTTTCTGGCCATCAGATATTAGGCATGGACATATATATTGCGATTGGATTTTCGAAAGCATTCAATCGCTTTGTTAACGTTTATTATTACCATTTCATGAGTCTCCCCATTCATGTGAATAGAGTGCTTGGACCCGGAAGCCCCTTCGCAAGACATCACACCTAACAAGCGGATAGTCCTGTGAAGTGCTTTGAAATGTAATTTGTTTTATTTGATGTTTGACGTAATCTCAACTGAAACATGAAGACAGACGGGACATTTAGTAGCTCCACCCCTTTATCAAAAACATGACCAATAGTGTTTTGTTTTCATCAAAGCGCATCAAATGAAAAGAAGTGTCTTAAAAGAGGCGGGGCATGTCAAAAGCTAGAAAGCATTTGATTGGTTGGAAGATTTGAAACTGAAGTATGAGGTGATGTCAAAATAAATAGTTGATACCACAAACTGCAAGCTTTGAACGAATCTATCAGGTTTATATCTTCTAAATGCAAATTTTGTTTTGGAGCCCTCTAGCTCAGGGGTTGCCAAACTTTTCAGCTTGCGACCCACAAACAGGGCCGGAGTGGGACTCCTTTTTAGCTCTGGAGTTTCAAGCCTTAGACCGGCCCACCTCAGTAGATGACTGACTATATTAAAATAACGTCATTTCCAATTCAGTTTCAAATGACACTAACACGTCTTTTTCAAGGACACAGCTGCTTTAGAAATTCAAATGTTTTTCATAAATATGAGAACATTAATTCTTTATAGATATCCAGTCCTTTGTAATGGTCATCACCATCAAAATATATTTTACCCCTACATAAGTAAACCAAACAGTATTTTATGTCTTAACACTGAAAATTAAAAAAAAGTATTATATTCTGGTGAAGTTCGAACTCGGATCGGCAGCGTCCTAACGTAACGCGCTAACCACTAGACCACATTGGCACTGTTAAGTACTGCACAGTTAACTGCTGCTATTGATGTCTACTGTTTTTTACCCTACTCTTTTTTTTTTTTCTTCCCTTTTTAGATTTCTTATCAAGTTATGTCAGATTTATTAATGAATCATCTGATCTTCATTGAGCAGGTGTAATATTCATTAATATTAATTAATATTCACTAAGGTGCCGCTGTTTGGGGTGGAATGGGGTGCAGCCGGCAGGTTAATGATGATCATCATTAACCTGCGGGCTGCATTTTCCTCACGGGGCTGCGAGAAAATAAATAAAAAGAGCGGAGCTGTGGCAAAATAATGAATAAAAAGAGTCAAATAAACAAATAAATGAAAAAAGTGCAACTGCTGAGAGTGCAAGCAGCTAGGGATAGCGGCCCTTGCGGCCAAAAAACGGACCGTAAAAAAGGGAATTCTCTCGGTTCTCCCGATTAGCCAATCTGGACCTGCCCACAAAATAACAATTCCAGTGAATTGTGAACCCCACTATCCTTAAAGGTGGTTATAAACATACAAACAAAAAGTGCAGTCTAACAACCATATAATTTTTAATAGTCATAAGTTATAATTTTTATATATATTCATTTGTTTAATTTAATATTACCCTCACTTAATGAGAATGGTGGGCAATGTTTACAGCACAAGGCTATTCTTGGTTAATTTTGAAAGCAGCCACTTGGAGATCGCTCTCTATGTTTAGTGGTGGTCTTTATTTTCAGTGTACACGAGTGCCGTAAAGCTTAACATTTGCCGTAAAGTTTAACATTGTGTCGTGAAATCAATCTGCTGCAACTAACACTATTGCTGTGTCATTAATCTAGCGCAGTGGTGACAACCCTGTTCCTGGAGAGCCACCTTCCTGCAGATTTCAGTTGCAACCCATATCAAACACACCTGCCTGTAATTATCATGTGGTGTTCAGTTCCTAACTAATTGGTTCAGGTGTGTTTGATATGGGTTGCAACTGAAATCTGCAGGAATGTGGCTCTGCAGGAACAGGGTTGGCCACCTCAGATCTAGCGTAATAACCCCAGGGGTCGTAATACAATAGGAATGCATTTGAAAGGCTGATGGCTTTTTATTTGCATGTTGTTTTTTATGCAACTATTAAATACTATTATTAGGGTGCTATCACACTTGGTTCAATTGCCTGGACCAAACTCAAGTTCGTTTGTCCCCTCTTGCCACCTTCTCGGCTGGTTTGTGTTCACACCATCCTTTTCCATCTGAACACAGGTACGCTTGTGCCATCAAGTTGCTGTTTTGTGTACAGCTGTTGCTAGATGACAACCACGAAAGCAAATTGCCAAAATGGATGTTGTCAAGATGTCATCATTCAGCGTTTACTAAATGTGTTGGTTTTGTAACCAAAACCAAAATATAGAGAGCCACTTGCATCTATCTGCCGCAAAAACATTAAAAACATTCTAGAACATCACTCGATGTCTGCAGAAGTCGTTTTTGGTGAAGAGAAGCATATGTTATCACTGTTTGCACTGGGTCACCATCGTAGGTGATACATCGTAGGTGATAGACCTACTGTATATACCCACAAATTAACTTTATGAAACCTAAAGTTTGTTGTTCAGTTGGCAGTTCACTTCTGTTTTTTGGTACGATTGCATTCATATCAGAAGTGAACCGTACGATAGTTCGAGTGAATCGTACCCTAGACCACCTCTTTCAGGTGGACTTAGGTATGGTTTGTGGGTGCGCACCCGAGTTCAGAAGACACGTTCACACTAGCTAAACATACCGTAATTTGACATCAAATGAACACGGTACAGACCAAAAGTGCTAGTGTGAAAGCACCCTTAATCTTCTGTAGGTTATGGGTAAAATATGGCAATTCTAATAGTTTAATCAAATCACTTTTATTGTCACATCATCAGCAGCATGTGTGCTATGATGAGTAAAAAGCTTAGTTTAATAACATATATGATATTTTTGGAAATTACCAAGTAGCTAATAGATATCCTTAAAATGAACATGCCAATATTAACATCTGAAAAACTTAATTTTAGTATCAGTAGAACTAAAATTGATAAAACACTAAAATGTATAAAATTATAGTTCATCACCACATCAAATCTGGTCTTAATTCCAGATGTTTTTGTCTGTAGCCCACAATATTCTTAAATAAACCAATGTGCATTGGTATTCCCAACATATTCTAGAAAAAAAGTAATGAATAATACCAAACCTGAATAGTGACTTCATGATGGTAAATTGTAATCCTATCAAAACATTGTCCAAAGCAAATATTTACAGGCCAAATTAATACAGGGTGGTCTCAAACCAAGTGATTGGCTCAAATTATATCTGGGCTGCGTCTAAATCTAATCTAATTTTAATGATCAAAGTAAGAAACCAAGAAAGGTACACAAACACAAATATCTCCAAACTCTGAAGCATATAGCATTCAACTGACAAATCACAAACCCATATTTTGACATTATCCTAAGAGAGAACCATACAAGAGAAGCTTAGCCAACAGCACATCTGCACCTGCAATGGTGGGAAGAGTGGGTCGTACTCCGTCTGGCAGCCCACCGACGCCAAGACTTTGGGTGGGGACACAGGGGCAGGTGGAGGGATAGGACTGGGTGGGGGTGCGGGTTTGGGCTTCGGGGAGGGAGCTGGAACTACCACAGGTTCAGGGGTTGGGGGTTTGGGTGGCACTGGTGGCAGAGTTGGCTGGGGGGGAGGGGTAGGCTCTCTTGGAGGGGGGGAAGGGGCTGGTGGAGGGGGTGGAGGCAGAGGGGCAGGGGCTAATTTAACCACAGGGGGGCACTTGGGTTCTTCAGCAGGGGGTGGAGGGCGAGGCATAGGGGGAGATTGGGGAGGTAGGATCATCTTCCTCTGAGGAAGAGGAGACTCAGGGGGTATGATTATCTAGAGAAAGACACCAATCAGACAGAAGAAGAGAGAGAAAGAAATGGAAAGTAGAGATGAAGAAGCAGCAGGCACAAAAATTAAGTGAAACTAAAATGAAATTTAGCAAATGGAATTGAATGGAAACAGAATGTGCTGAATTCATTAATCCTTCCCGTCTACCTTATCCACATCCCTGTTGTGGTCTTCCCGTGAGCGTTTGGGGTTGGACATGACGATGACACCTTCAGTGAGCCAATCGTCTGGTTGCTGCTTTTTTGCTTTTTCTTTGCGGGCAATTCCCAGCTTGCCTTGCAGTTCTTCAATGAGCCGGTCCTGAGAGTTGCTCTTGTGGAAAATCAGGGGGCCCATCTTCCTACGTATCAGGCCATCTCGGTACATGGGATGGACATTTTGAATCTCCTTTGTGCGTCTGATCACTGATTTGATCTGGGACAGCAGTACAAACTCCTTGAGATGCAACATGGCTCAAAAATGGTTGATTATTATGCTAAAAAGCAGAAATCTAGGCAAGCATTCAGATGCAATCCAGACGCAGGATCAGTTGGAATGGAAATGAGAGTTTCCATTTATGGTGGTGGTTAGCATTGGGTACTTGCTTGTTATGAAGTGCACAAATGTACCAAGGTAGGGTTATGGCTATCAAGTACACACACCAATACTCAAGTTCAAATTAATCTGCTTTTCCTATTAATACAATTTATTATATATATATATATATATATATATATATATATATATATATATATATATATATATATATATATATATATATATAAATATATATATATATATATATATATATATATATATATATATATATATATAGAGAGAGAGAGAGAGAGAGAGAGAGAGAGAGAGAGAGAGAGAGAGAGAGAGAGAGAGAGAGAAAGAGAGAGAGAGAGAGAGAGAGAGAGAGAGAGAGAGAGAGTACAATTATTAGAGCAAGAATAACTGCAGAGTTAGGAACTGTTACAATCTCCGCTCCAAAATAACACATCAGATGGGTTTCAATCCAACCACTTTCAATCATATTTTATCTCTAATAAACATGCAGAGCACCCTAAAGGTCTTGATTGTGTAGATCAGGGGTGTCCAAACTTGGTTCTGGAGGGCCGGTGTCTTGCATATTTTAGATCCAACCTTAATCAGACAAACATGGGCTACCTTAAGCTCTTAGGCTTGCAAGAAATGTCCTGGCAGCTGTGTTAAGGCAAGTCGAAGATAAACTCTGCAGGACACCGGCCCTCCAGGACAGAGTATGGACACTCCTGAATTAGATGGTTCAAGTGAGGGTTAGAGCTAAATTCTGCTGGAAAATGGTCCTTCATTAGCAGTATTAGAGAACACGCATTACATGCTAGGAATAAAATCACTGCAAGCCTTGTATCCATATCATTCCCAATTCGATTTTCACAGCATTCCCAATCAACAAGCATTGCAGGACCATCCATACATGTCCAGAGGCTGAGATCCTGTCCATTGTGCCAGCCATATGGAGCATGGGAAGATCCATCTGGGCATCTGGGGTTCCAGGGCAAGATGACGGAGTGAGAGAGTCATCCATCCAGCTTGCCTCAGTCATGGGAGTCATGGAGCCATCAGGTCCTTCGTAGGCCATCTTCAGCTCCATGTCAGCCCAGTCGAGATCACTCCTGCAGTCTGACTGGTCCTCCAAGAGCCCATCTCCCATTTCACTTTCTGTGTGAGTATCAGGATGAATGTCACTGCGATCTGCTGCAACTATCGACTCCTCATAGATTTCTGGTTGTGCTTCCGAAGTGAGTTGTGAAGAAGCTGATGCTGTGATATGAGTCTCATTCTCAGGCCTGCTGAAGCTCATGGCGAGAAGTTTATCCAAGGCATCATCAAGTGAAGGCTCATAGGTTGGTGGTTCAAGGTGCGGTTTGAGAGAAACAACTGGCTCAAGATATGCTGATTCTTGTTTTGGGCTTGGAGACTTAGAAACCCCAAGAGTTGGGGAAGTGGGTATGATAGGAGGAGGTGAGAGAGCTTTGGGAAGAGACAGAAAAGATGATTCAGAGACTGCAGGAAGTGGAGACCTGGGAAGGGATGGCACTGGGCTCAAAGGTTTTGTTTCAGGTCTGGAGAGATAGAGATCTATAGATGCCGGTGTCATCAAAGGACTAACTCGTTCATTGACTCTGCTAATCGCTGGTGAACTTCTTGGACTAGGAGACTTGGTGTTAGGCGAATAGGAGTTCAGTCCAGAGTTCATCAATTTGGCAGATGGACTCCCCTCTCTGACAGGAGAAAGGTACTGACCTCTAGGTGCAGAAGTCATGGGTATAGTCTGAGATAGAACAACTAGAGATTCCACCTCAGAGGAGAGCAGGGAAGCAGAAACATCAATGGCAGAATCCAAGCCCAAGTCAGGCGCTGGAGAGAAACGTGGACTAGATGCTGGAGGGGGAGACAGTCGAGAGTAAGACTTAAATACACCATTGGAAGGTAGAGGCACAGCCCCTGGTTCACCAGAATCCTCCACAATGTGCAGTTCAAAGCTTGAAGGACCTGGAGAAAATTGCCTAGATTCTGCTGGTAAGGTAGGGGACAGGGATTTGGACACGGTAGTCGTAGGAGGAGGGTGGATTTCAGCTGTGGTAGTAGTTTGCTCAAACAGTGGCTCAGAGTTCAGGGAGCCTAAAGAACTTGGCTGGCGGACATAAGGAAGGGACAGGGGAAGAAAGAAGAGAAACAGAAGAGATCGACAGATTAAGGGATGCAGCGAATGAGAAATAATTAAAAAGCTTCAATAGCATATACAAAACAGCAAAGGGAAAAAACAAAGAAAAATGAAACTGATACTTGGCACAATGGTGAAATCATGAGATGAAAATAAAGAGATAGACAAGCAGCCAAAAAAGTTTACAAGAATAAAACTGGTTAATTTTGTGAATGTCAGATGAAAACACGCAAGTTTCCCAACAGCACTGTAAGCCCAAGAAGATTGCAGATACCATTGGCACCAACTGTCTCGACAATCTGCTTACAGCGTTTTTGGGAAACATAGCCCAGATTGTAAAGGAGTTATAAAAATAGATCACCCAAACAACATAGTTCAGCACACATTCCAAGACACAACGTCTCTTCAGCTCACTCACACTGTCCTACTAAAGCCATTCCAAGTTGCTGGCATCTATACACACACTCACATTGCTCTGCACCTTAAAGTCTGAGAGGCAGGCCATGAGCTCCTCAAGTTCTCGTGTGGCAGAGGTTGCTGAAATTCTGCCCTGCTGCTCGGAAGGTGCGTCCAACTGGCCGTCAGTCAAATTGCTTGTCAAAGCACATGGGCTGGGTCTGTTTACATAAATTAACATAAAATAAACAGCATTCCGTTAAAATGCACAATGCAAAGGCATGGTTCCCCAACTGTAGAGCAGCAATTCTCAATACTGATCCTCATAATCCCCACTATGCATATTTTTATGCGTTTCTCTCACCTCTTTTGAGGTTTGTTCCATTCAACCGTATGAAGTAGACATCACAAGAGATCGTGCCATGATTCATGTTTGAAATCATTTAATTATATGGCTACCATGCACAAGATGTGGCTACCATGCTAACCACATGATTATGGAATAACCCTTCACACTTCTGTAATGATTGGATATGTTGCAATCAATAGTGCAGCATTTTTTTAAATAAAAATCAAGTTAATTTTATTCAATTTCCCATATGCATGAGGTAGGAATCAGTGAACACTATATATATAGAACATGTTGCATGTCTCTTTTTGGAAAGAACTGAATCAGATGTGTTAGCAAAAGAGTCATGCGAAATAAGCAGGTTGGCTGTTCGTGAGGACCAGGATTGAGAACAGCTACTGTAGAGTAATGTGGTAATGATCTTACGTTGTGGAAGGCACAGAGCTCTCCAACTCATTCAGAAGACTTTCTACAGTGGGACGCCCATCATCTGTCCCCTTTGTTCCATTCCTCTGAGGCTTGTCCTGGGCAGCCGGTGTCAGTGTAATGCTTGGGTGGGCTCCATTCTCTTGGATATAGTGGGCAACACTGCAAGGCGGCAATGGAGGTGCAGCATCTTCTGCAGCAAGGAAGTTTTAAAGTACAGTTACTTGGGACAGCTCCCTAACGCCCCATTCACATGGGACGTCAGCGTCAACGTTTCCCATTCACTTTGAATGGGTGACGTCAGGCGTTGCCGAACTGCATTGTGGATCCGTCAGCACCTCTTCAGAGGCGTTGCTCGCAGCAGAAGTTGGGACCTGCTCAACTTTTCAAGCACCGACGGAAGCGTCAGCCAATCAGATTGCTGTATGCAAATACACCAGCTAGACAGTGGCCATAGCTGACTGAATTTAATTGGCTGACGCTTCTATGACGATCGTTTCAGCCCCAACTTCAGACACGCCTTCAGTCAAGCATTGAGGCTGAAGCCCTGTGTGAATGGGGGGTGACACCCAAAGTAAAATCTGTTCGCTACCACCCCATTTTTATTTCAGATCATGCTGTTTGCCACCTGTCCTCATAGATTTGCTCATTTTAAATGGAGAGTTCAAAGATGTGTACTTAGAATTAAAAAGAATGGTGTATCGAATTGAATATACTGATAAATTTGGGTGTATTGTGAATTCACATGTAGTACCTATTCGAGTGGTAGGCGAATTCAGAGGCAGCCCAAGTTTGCCCATTCCTGCTCTAGTGACAAGTGAATATTTAAATGTAAGATTCTGGAAATGAGATTTAAATTTAGCGGGAACGGGTTTTGCAGTGATTAAAACCAAGCAGGAGCGGAAGTAAAAAAAAACAGTCCCGCTCAGAAATCTACTGTATTGTGTCTCTGTGTTTACCTGTAGTGGAGTAAGATGGGGCATTTTGCTGTACAGCATTGAGCTCCAGAAGAAGTCGGTCTAGTTCAGACAGGTTGCTACCCAAGGCGGAAGTCATGGCTGTGGCCGAGGAGTCTGAGTGCTTCTGCTTGTTGGGAAAACTGGGCCAATAGAATTGTGTTTATTTTTTCAAAATAAAAGAAGATGGGCCAAAGAAAGAGACGTTATGGAGGATCGTCATAGAATGCCAGGATTAAATACCATTTACTTAACTAATATTAGTATGAACTTGTTCATGCTACTCACCTGTAAACGTGGTCTTCTTCCGTACGAGAGGCTGGTGGACTGCTGTCCCGAGACAATGTACTTTTTTGAACAGAGCCCAGAGACTGAATAAAAAACATTTATGTAAATATATATTGCAAATGTAAATACATTTATGTTAATACAAAATGACTGACCCATCAATTTTAAGTAATGTACTGTATAGTGGCCATACACCCAAAACACTTAACATTCATGAGGGGGGTCTCTACACACCACCACCAATGGGCAGCATCCACTTGGATGATGCGACAGCAGCCACAGAACAACGACTCTAGTGCGATTACCACACACTAGGGTTGTGACGATGAGAAAATTTCCCCACCGAATAATCGACATGTGACAACACCGGTAATACCGGTATCACCGTGGGGTGGGGGTTTCCTCTTTTTTTGCGTTTGAATAGCTTATAAATGCGTTCGTGTTATACTTTCACTTTCTGTTTTGCGGGACTTGCTAATTCATACAAATACATTTGATGCACGTTGTTGACTCACTTTGGCAGTTGCTATTTTGATGAACTGAAATAGCACCACTGACCAACTAAATGCACCTATGCGAACAAGTACACACTGCTTAATACACTCAGGGCCCTATCATACACCCGGCGCAGTGTGGCGCAAGATGCGGCGCAATAGTCTTTTGGTAGTTTCAGCTTGGCGCAAGAGTCGTTTTGAGGCGTTGCGCTACGCTGTTTAAATAGCAAATGCATTAGCGCTCATTTGTGTGCCCATAGGCGTTCTGGTCTAAAAAGGAAGGCGTTCTGAGGCGGACTGCTGCCGCGTCGCTATTTTGAGAAACTATAATAGATTTTTCATTAGACCAAAACCCGGTCTAAACTCCAGCGCAGAGTTGTGCCTCGCTTACACACTGCTTAATACACACAAGAGAGCAATAGGCAAATATCTTTACATATGAAAAAATGTAAATATTAAGGATATATATAGGATATAATAAGAATAGATATAGGATATAAATATAAAGGATTAAAATATTACAAAACATATTATTTTCTAGCCTACATAAATATGAAAAACCACTGCTTTTATGTCTTCTTCATCTCGGGAGGCTTTTTCAGTTCATTCATAACAATTTGCTTTTGTATAATGTAATTATTATTAGCAGTATTATTTATTATATCCATATTTACATTTTTTTTTATTAAAAACAAGCTTAGGTTTGCCCACCTGTCAGGTTTTAGACCATATAGGGCATGGCAGGTGTATTTGGAAATAACTCAGTATTTTGACCACACTTGGTCATTATTGTTCATTTATTCGTTTGCTAGAAAATAGAACTGAATTTAGAAATAGTTTTGAAAAAATATTTGCGCTTAACAAATGAAATTAATTATTTATAGCCTAATTGATGTCTGTGCGTGAAGGTTTCCCTATCCAAGAGCGAAAGTGAAAGTAGTTCCATTATCTCTCATTCTCACGCAGTAGATTCTCTGTTTTAAAAGTTTTCTGTTAAAAAACTGTTAACTGTTTGCTTGTGAAATGCTCATTTTTTCCACTTAGACTTACTTTGCGTCCTGTAAATATCGAATGCGCTCTTGGCGCGACGCAGCTGGCTCTTAAAGGGAATGGGAGATGAGACTCTAATTGGTTTATTCTCAAAACACACCTATAACTCATTAAGAAAATAAACTCAACCCTTTTAGACCATGCACCTTGGCGCAAGGCAGATTTCCCATCCTTAAATTAGCAAAAACACGTCCTGACACGCCCTGAAAGTGTTTGCGCCCTGCGTTTTGCGCTCTGCGCATGGACCGTCAAAATAGAGCCCACAGGGTGTACAGCAATACACAAATATCTTTACATATGAATAAAAATTAAAGGATTAAAAATGTTACAAAAATGATTATTTTCCACATAAATATAAAAACCCCTGCCTCCATGCCTTCTCCACCTTGGGGGGATTTTTCGGTTTATTCATTCATGTTATTATTATTAGCAGTATTATTTATTATATGCATATTTATTTTTGCTGTAATAAAAACAAGTTTAGATTTTACCACATGTGGGGTTTTGGAGATGTCTGCATCACCATGTGGGGCATAAAACAGGATGTGCATTCAGATATAACTCAGTTTTTTTGACCACACTTTATTATTATTGTTTACTTATTCGTTTGCTGTAAATTAGTACTGAATTTAGAAATAGCTTTGAAACAAATCTTAGTGCTTAACAAACTAAATTAAATATGTAGGCTAATGGATGGCTTCAGTGGAGTGAGTACAACACCGTTTCCTTAGTAAAAAGAAAGAGGCTGAATGGAGGAGGCTCGTTCTTTATTCTCGCGCTGCAGATGCTCTGTTTAACTGTTTTCTCACTAGTGAAGCGTTCAGTTTTGACACTTACAAAACCCGCCATATATCAATGCGCCATATTGCTGTGCAACTGAGTCTTAAAGGGAATGTGAGATGAGATTCTGATTGGTTTAATGCACGTTATGTTTAAAACACACCCATAACTCATTAAGAGAATAAGCACAACCCTGTTAGACCATGCGCCGGGGCGCAGAGCTTATTTTTCCAGCCTTAAAATAGCAAAAGTGTATAGGAACACACCCTTAATGCTTTTGCACCATGCGCTTTAGACTTTGCGCCTAGACCGTTAAAATAGAGCCATAATTAATAAATACTTTAGGTCCATGTGGTACAAAACCTTACAAAGTCATGAATTAAACATTCTTGTTAGCAATACAGTTGACCATTCGATGCTCAGTGTACAATCTAAGTGACTATGAATCTAAGTTTATTGTGAAAGTGCAGTTTGAGCTGAACCTGTTGTGAGTCCGGCCGTGGGGAGAGAGATCCGTTCAGGGCTTCAGCTGAAGGTGGAGGAGGCAGCGGTGGAGGAGGAGAGTCATCCTGAAACAGCTGACCTCCACTGGGGTACGAGTACGGCGTCTCCTCGGGCAGAAACACTGGGCACTTGGAGATATGGGCGGTGGAAGACTCCAGATCTGCAAGCAATGCATCTGTGCAGAAAGCAAACTTCATAATTAGATTTAGATTATTGTACTTCAGGTAAAATATTTTTGTATGATCAAGTTGATTATTCATTCATTCATTCATTTATTTTCTTTTCGGCTTTGTCCCTTTATTAATCTGGGGTCGCCACAGCGGAATGAACCACCAACTTATCCAGCACGTTTTTACACAGTGGATGCCCTTCCAGCCACAACCCATCTTTGGGAAACATCCACACACTTATTCACACTCATACACTACGGACAATTTAGCCTACCTAATTCACCTGTACCGCATGTCTTTGGACTATGGGGGGAACCGGAGCACCCGGAGGAAACCCATGCGAATGCAGGGAGAACATGCAAACTCCACACAGAAATACCAACTGACCCAGCAGAGGCTCGAACCAGCGACCTTCTAGCTGTGAGGCGACAGCAATACCTACTGCTATTCATAATTGTTTTTTATTAGTTGTACTATTTTTATAATTTTTTAAAACATTACATATAGGCCTGTCACGATATCAGTCATCAGGCACCCGCGTGAGAATACACATTAGTAATTTAAAGTAAATCTTATAGTGTTTTTTTTTTACCATACTGACACTGACACCTCCAATAGAGACAGAGAGGCTGCACAATTAGCTAAAATGTGGTTAGAAATGTTTTTATCTATGGGCAATATATATCGCAATAACAAAAATGATTGAGAACAGTGTGTGTGTCCATATATATATATATATAAAAACTATATATATATATATATATAAAATATATATATATATATATATATATATATATATATATATATTTATGTGTGTGTGTGTGTGTGTGTGTGTGTGTGTGTGTGTGTGTATATACAGATGAGGTCAGAATTATTAGCCCCCCTTTGAATTTTAAATATTTCCCAAATGATGTTTAACAGAGCAAGCAAATTTTCACAGTATGTCTGATAATTTTTTTTCTTCTGGAGAGAGTCTTATTTGTTTTATTTCGGCTAGAATAAAAGCAGTTTTTAATTTTTAAAGATCCATTTTAAGGTCAAAATTTAGGGTCACAACCCAAAAGTTACTTTTTGGGTAGTCATCTGGGGCCTCATGTATCAACGCTGCGTACGCACAAAAACTTTGCGTACGCCAGGTTCACGCTCAGAATCGCTCACGTTTGGATTTACTAACAATGAACTGAATGTGGGAATGTGCGCAGCTTCACGGCAGCTTTCTGGCTGGCGTACGCACATTTTTTGTGCGTGTCTGTTTTATATCCATTGGCGACTCCTAGAGGCAGTTGTGTTAAATTCCTCTCTACAAAGTGTCTGAGCCTTGCAGTGGCAGCTGTATGAGACGGGTTCATCTAGCAGGTATATAAGGTTTCCATACCATACATTTGACCAGCTAAACATTAAAGCACAATTTGCAGCGGTCACCTGTTTTCCCAATGTAATCTGAGCGATCTACTGCACACACATTGCTATAAAGACACTATCTGAAGATGAATTTGCATGCGTGAACAGAAACATTTCCATTCAATAAATGTGCAAATAAAATATGATGCTTATTGATATGAACTTATTGATGATTCCTACTTGTCTTTCTCGTGATAAATAGTTGGCAAAATCTGATATGTAGCGGGGGAAAAAACAAGAAAGAGTTCATCAGACGCTGGATTCGAGCCGGGTTCATGCTCGAACGTATCAATTCATGATCACATGCGTCTTACAAGTAGCGCCACTGAGACTGTTAAGCGTCCTGCAACATTTTACAGATATAAACCACACTATTTCTTTTTTTAATGCACTCAGTGCGATGTTCAGACCCAACTGTGTTAACCGCATCAGCTAAACTCTCCCACTCTATTTTTTTCTTTTGTTGTTAATTCCGGAGAACAAACTTGCAAATAACACCGCTTTTCTCCGGTCTACCTCCGAAAGCAGCACCTCCAATTCACATTCTGTTCAAAGTTTCTCTTCTTGCTTGCTTTTGCCGTTGCTTTTTCGTTGGGTTTTGCCATTAGCATAGTCATTAGCATATTCATACGGGGGAGGAGGCAGGGAGGGGTTTTGTGCTCGTGCATGTTGCGCTCAGTTTCACGTTCATTCAGACGTACAAAAGAATATGCGTGAGATTCAGCGTACGCAGTGTTTCATACATCTGAAATTTTTTCTGCGTACGCACATTTACAGCTTTGTGTGTACGCAATGTTTTAGTAAGATTTCCACGCAAGTCTTCGTACATGAGGCCCCTGCTTCTTTCTAATGCATCTCCTGTTTCGCTACTGTAGACCACTTCATTAAAAAAAAGAAAGAAGAAATGCCCACGTGTTTAGCGTTTTTCCTTATCGCGAACACAACTGTAATCTGGTAGTGTTTGCTTTGCTTTGGCTTTTTCGGGGGTTAATTATTGTGATCTGATTGCAACAGAGAAATACTGGGAAATCTCTGTAGACTGATGGCATTTCATGCCGTTCAGCCTAATGATCTTAAAATACAAAATCAGTTTTTTTGTCATCACTTTAGACATTACGCTAGAGAATCATTCAAACACTAGCTCTAAAGTGACGTTGGTGAATGAGCAACGGCTTCTGCTATTTTGACGTCAGCTGCAGATGTGAATGAGCGGCGGAAAAAAGTAGTTCCTCATACAAAAAGGTTTTTGAGACTCTCCATGTTTGATTTTCATTTTTATACACACAATTATGCCGTCAAACTGTTCTATAAACACAATATCACACTCATAGCAGTGCGATGTGGCTGTATATCATCACTGGTGAGACACCACGCAGACCTCACACCAGTGCCGTGTGTGTGTGTATTGTATTGTATAGTAAAATAAAATTTATTTCTGATTTAAAACTAAAGCTTTTTAATTTTTTAGTCAATAATTCTTCAGAAATTATTTTAAAACGTTGATATGATGCACAAAAAATTCGTAATTGTTTTTTATATTGATCATTTTATATTAGTTTAATGCCCTTTGTTAGAGGAGTACATCTCATCCACTTTTGAATACGATGATACTAGACCTTTATACAATGAAAACAGTCATGCAGCTAGACACACAGTTAAAGATAACATTAAACAACAAGCTGTAAATAAGCACAGAGACAGCAGCATTATAAACTTCTCCAGCAAAGAGAGCAAGAGAGTCTCCAAATACAGAAATGATGTTTGCTTGCATGAGTCAGTCTGCATTCCAGCCTTTCTAACCATCCTCAATCATGTTACTAAATACAGTCCTCCAGCGCCAGCTCTGCCAGCCCTCATGCCAGAGCTTTTCTGACAGAAAAATAGTTTGTTTCAGTAGGTATTCAGCTTTGTGTTGCGTCAAGTAAGCTTAATGTGGCTTTATTAAGTTCTGTCATGTGTCTGTGTTGTGTCCGCTGGCAAGTAAAGGCATTTTGTTCTCGTCAACACAACAGAGTTATTTTCAGCATCAATATCGCAATGTGTGAATCTGCATAAGTCACATTAAAGGATCTCAAATGGGATTATAATTCACCAGGAACCACAGTTCAGAACATGTAACTCGTAGAGTCATTGCGAAGTTTAGCCATAATCTAATAGTGTGAATGTTTTTTACTTTACTTGGATTTAGCGCAGCACAATATACGGTTTCAGCATCGATATTGCAATGTGTGCGTTCGCAATAGTCACATTGCAGGATCTGCAATGTTGAGCTGGGATTATAGTTGAGAATACAATTGTGGAGTCACTGCAAAATATAACCATAACAGAGTCAACCCTGATCTGACATCGCCACACTCTGGCCTCAATATGAGAACGATGACAGGATTACATGATTACATTTCACTACAGAGGCTCTAGACATGATATTAAATTAACAAAATGTTGAGTCTCATATAAATATATATATATATATATATATATATATATATATATATATATATATATATATATCAGAATACAACAATGCAACAATAATGTGTGTCGTTCATTCAAGACGAAAGTTCAGTTCAAGGTTGGCATCAAACAGAGTGACCGAGTGAAAGCATGTGTCTGACATAATGCTTTATTTTTAGCCATGTAATCATGAATATTTTTATTCTGATTTCACCGAATTCTTATGCACTGTTGGAGAAGGACCAAGTTTTTAGTTTATTCCTGCTGTAATACCTAATTCAGCATTTGAAAAAAGTTCCATAAAATCATCATATAGCGACCAGAGGTGGACAGTAATGAATAACACTTATTTTACTACATTTACTTTGGTAAAACTGTTGGGTAACTTGTACTTTTTGGAGTACATTTAAAGGTGCAGTTTGTATGTAAGTTTGACACCCAGTGAACGAACTAGGTATTGCACTCCTGGTAAAAACAGAAGCAAGCGCAGGTTGCCAGATTGACGACGAAGAGTAGAGCTAGGTACTGAAACCCAGTGCCATGGAACCAGTATGCACCGGACCGAATTAGCATATGAATTTCGGTGCCTAATTTCGGTGCCACTAGTGCTGCGACAAGAACGTAAAGAAGGTCGCACACCAGAAGTGCTGCTCTGCGACGCACAGCACCTTTAGAATTCACAAGTTGGTCGCAAGTTGGTTTTGTTTTTGATATTCCTGACACATTCAGAGATAGATGGCAATAACTCAAAAACCTCTTACCCTAAAAAGATCTAAAGTGTGTTTGCTACAAAAAGACAAATCTGGTTATGTTTCACAGCTGTCTGTTTCTTTTTTTTTTTTTTCGCTCGACATTACGACCACTGCTCCGTTTAGCCGGAGATATGCATTTTGCCGGCAGAGCTCGCACGAAGTGGAGCTCTCAGTAAGGGACCGTCAGAAAAGTGCTTCTTATTTTCGTTTATTCGGTTTTTTTTTTGGTTTTTTTTGCTTCGTCCTGCGTGTTTTATTTTAAACACAACTAATTTTCTCTTAGTCGAATGCTTCAATCATTCATTCATTCATATAGATCTGTGCATTCTTACATTAACATCTCTGTTATCAAACAAAACACTGAGAGATTCGTCTGCTGCTCTTCACTAAATAACTCT